TTTGTTTGGATAAGATATTCGTATATGTCGAGTACAAGAGTGTTGTTTTTTTTCCTGATTGAATCAATGAAATCTTTGTATGCATTGGGATTTATAGCTTTTTTCGGATGTTTTGTATCTAAATTATGATGTATAACGAATGAAATTGTTTTTTTTTTAGTTTAGTAGCTGTTTTTTCTATTTGAATGCATACAATAATTTGTATCCCATTAAGTTAATGTAACTAATCGATCATGAAATATATGTTGAATACAACAATAAATGAATACAAAAGTGAGATGAAAATACAAAGTTATAAATACAAAGTGAGATTGAATATAAAGTTGTGAATACAAAAGAAATACTCTCTTCATTTGAGACACAAAGTGACTTTGAAAGGTAAAATACAAACTAATGGATCATGAATTATATGTTGAATACAACAATATATGAATACAAAAATGAGATGAAAATACAAAGTTATAAATACAAAGTGAGATTGAATATAAAGTTGTGAATACAAAAGAAATTAAATACTCTCTTCATTTGAAATACAAAGTGACTTTGAAAGGTAAAGTAGACACATAAAATACAAAACTTGTTGGTATACAATTAGGTTGAATACAAAACAAAAGAGAAATACAAACTTGTTCACGTATAAATTGAGATTGAAATACAAAATGAATACCCAATAAAATACAAAATCGTTAGCATACAGTTAGGATGAATACAAATTTAGAAGGAAATACAAACATGTTGGTATACTAATTGAGATTGAAATACAATGCAACCCTTGGGTAATACATAAATCAAATGAGGGAAATTCCCCAAAAATTTGAATATTATTTGGTATACCTCTAGTAATTCTGATTGAATCAGTCATTGTAGACAATCAAATGCTTTCCCCATAATCTAAAACCCTAAAAGCAAATTTCGATATTATCAAATTTTAAAATGTATTAAATATCAAACAAAACAAACATATATATGAATTTCTAGAATCTACAAAATCTGAAAAATTAAAAGAAAATCACAAAAAAAAATGAAATTAATAAATATATGATGAATATTTAAACAAAATCACATAAAAATTGAAAAATTTGACTGAAAATCCATAATATATAGAATTAGTGATTTAAACATCAAATAAATAAAATTCAAAATTGATAATGGAAATTACCTTGCCAACCGAGAATTCTGCTTGAATTAACAAAGAGATTTCGTTTAACAATAAAGAAAATTTCTTGATGAACAACACTTTAGCACTTTGAAGAAAGATAAACTTGAAATGTGAAAGGTATGGAAGAAACGTGAAAGTTGGGGAAGAAACGTGAATGGTGATGAAAAAAGGTTAATGGTATTGGTTTAATTTATTTTTTTCACCTTAAACGGTTATTGATATATAATTTGGTCTAATATAGGACTCTTTCCATAAATAAAATTAATTTAAAATACTAAAATCTGAATACATATTATTTTATAAAAATATTGTCGTTCTGCCATTTTAAATAAATATTTTAAAGTGTTGTTATTTTGATTAATTATGTTAAGTATTTTGACTTAATTGCTAATTTTCTCAAGTTTTTTTATGTTTACATTTTGGTAAGCAAAACTCGAAAGAAAGTTTGGGCCGCGAATCAATGTCCAATTGGGCTTCCCAAAGAGTGCTTAACTTATTTACTTTCTTTAACTTTTACAAAAATCTACTTTTTTATGTTTGAAAAAAATAACTTCTAAAATTTGTGGGAGTACATATAACAATTTATTAAATATTTGCTTTATTATTTAAGGGTGAAATAAAAAATAAAAATAAAATTATTACCAAATATATATAAAAAAAGAAGAAGAACTCATGTTTTAATTGCAATTGACAAGAAAAGAGTGTCAGGCAAAACAATAGTCCACCCTAATAAGTTTCGGTTTCAAAGCCCTGCGAATTGTTATCTTGTTCGAGTAGGAATATTTCGGTTTTTCTCGTTCCTTCTCTTCGATAAGAATAGGGATTTGAAATGATACAAATTCCTCTTCATTCTGTTGTGCTCAACGAAAGAACTGCCTAAGCATACTTTTTCAGATCCAAACTTCTTTGTTCTTTCTAAGTCTTCTTCTTGCATAGAAGAACGCAACTGTTGCAAAAACCGGGATTTTAGTAGTAGGCGGTATCCCCTCTTAGTTTTGAGTAGGCGGAACCATTCTGTTTTGGTTCTTCTCCACGGGTGATCCAGGAATTTTCCTATTATTTTCTCAACTGAGATTTCGATATAGAACCTACAATGCATGATTTGAATTTAGTAGAAACTCCAATGTCTTTTGGTTCTCCGGCCCATCCACCGATTCTCTGCCAGAATATTGCCAGAGGTCTTCCAAATAGCAAATGAATATAGATGTTAGATTTTTTTCTTTGTTGGAGTTTTATCCCATAAACTTCTTAAATATCATTTTATCCTTTTAAATGAATGACGACTTATTAAAAAGCTATCCAGCTAGAAATTAATCCCTATGATCGAAGACGTTATTAATTGGTTGAATATAATGTTTAAGGTTGCATTTTCTACACTTAAACTAGTTTCAAAAAGGATATAAAATTATACAGTAGTAAGTGAATATTTGTGTGGATTCTAGGAGAAAAACAAGGGGCTACTCTAGAGAGGGGAAAAAGCAAAGCATGCAGGAGTCAAGCTGACATATTAGTTTGTAGGTTGCAGTAAAATTGGCAGTGATTTTTGAAAACAATGAGAGGAATTAATTACTATTAAATTAGGCAGAAATATCATTGTGTAATTAAGTAGAGAGTCAGAAACTCAGGGGGGTAAAGTGAAAAATCTATTAAAAAATCATATCACTAGTTGAAAATTGATAGATGCTATGGGATGTTGACTCTACTTCAATAGGAATTGCGTGATGAAAGAGAATGGCCTGACCATCTAGTAAAGGTAATAAATGTATATTGTGAGCAAAAATTGATGACACAATGAGAGAAGGTTTCACTATATTCCAGGTTTGTCAGCCTTTCTATCGAGGGATAGGATGTATGTATAATGTATATGACTTCCCCTGTAATTAAGTATCGTCTTGGACAATCCTTTTCTCATCATCTAAATTTTGAGGTTGAATAGAGTTTAAAGTTAATTTATATATCATGATATTAGAACAAGACCCAACTCATGTATTTATATTATATATTTATTTCATCCGTTGTTGTGCCTCCCTTTTATATTGACCACTCTCCAGATGTTGCGTAGGAGTGTTGAATCAACATCAATGGGCATTAGGTCCTTGCACAATACTCCCCAATGTTCACTTCTTTATGAATTTTCATTCTTCTTCTATTGTCTTTTTCCGATTTTTTTTCGTTAAAAAACTTGTTTTGATGATGACAATTCAATCCTGAGAGAATGGTTACCGTAATCCATAAGAAAGCTTAGTAAAATCTGTGTAAAATATATAATACTAGCATATCTTGTGTTCTTGTGAAGAAACGTGGCGAGTCATACATTAAGCTTAGAGAACAAAAGACGAGAGGGAGTTGCTCGGATGGTAAGTACCCCTCACTTTCAACCCAAAAGTTGCGAGTTCGAGTCACCAATGGAGCAAAAGGGGTGAGAGCTCCTAGGGAGGGTAAATGAAAAAAAAGAAGCTTAGAGAACAAAATGGAGACGTTGATTAATTAGCATTATGGTTCTTCAATTCTTGCGTAGACGAGACTATTTCAAAAACAATCTCTCTTTCTATCTTCACGAGATAATATTTATATAGTCTTCATATACTCTATCTTTCCCAAGAATATAAAAATATACGGGATATATAATGTTGTTGTTATTCATTTCTTGTGTATGGCCATTATTTTCACAAAGGTGCCTACTCATTTTGTATGATTTCTTAGTTTATAGATGATGTCGCTATTGGCAAGAACTTATGGAACCCATTTATCGGACTTCCACAAAATTAAAAGTTGCTACTCAGCTCACATAGTTTTGAACCTGTCAAATGAGCTCATAATAAATTAAAAGTTTTTCTCTATAATCGCTATTCAATATTCACCCAAGAAACTTGAGCATTATACAAGAAACGTGATGTTAGAATAACACATTACCTTCTGAATGAAATTGCAAGTTTGCAACAAAATGATCGTTCTTCTTATTAGTAACGCTAGAATTTGAAAATATTAGTATAACATTATAATTTCAAGTGGCACTACTCATTCTATTTGTTTTGATAAATAAGTATTGCTACCACATTTGATTTTAGTTTGAACCTTTTGAATCAGTCATTGCAGCTCATAATAAATTAAAAGTTTTTCTATCTAGAACATTATACAAAACGGTGATAAAAGTTATAATAATTGATTATCTTTTTAATTGAATTAATTTCCACAATACTAGAATAATTCTTTGTATTTGATTTTCGTGTTGTGTGTCTGAATTTTTTATAGGTATTTAATTAGTTGAACTATTTTTGCAAAAAGTTGCATCACATAGTGAACATTTCAAAATTCAAATTTTCCAAAACAACAAATCCAAAGTCTAGTTTTCCTTTCTTAAATGGAGTAATTACTACGTATTTTTTATAGTGGGTGTTAGTACATAAACATCCCATCAAAGAAAAGGAGCAGATTACAAGAATGTAATAGAGCCAAGGGATGACAGAATTCAGCTTCAATTTCCAAAGTGCATATGCAATGTTACATCCACAGATCCATTATGTAATTTATACCGTCTTATTTTCACCTCAAAATATATTCAGGGTAATTGATAACCTTCACCATTAGAATGAAAGTTCAAGTCGAGTAATTTTTTTTTTATGTTATAGTAACTTGTTATATCTTTTGAATAAACTCTAACTTAAACAGTTTATGCAACTTAAATTAGAGCTCTGGTAAAGAATAGATCTTTGAAAAGATTATTCTCTGAAGGAAAAAGAAATCTTACGCAAACTTTACAAAAGCTTAGAATGAATTATATTCTTTCACACTTTCTATAGTTTTAACCCAAAAGGTGAAACAAAATGTGGAATGACCTCTTATTCATGTGAAAAGATTTATTAGCATATCTGTGTATGATGATGTCACAAGATCTTGTACACAATACAAGTTAGGAGATTATCTCTCATTTCAACATTATTTTCCATATGCCTGTCGTCAATAAAAACAGATATACATGAGAGAAAGATAAATTAGAGAAAAAGGAAACAATAAATCACATAATGAACCAATATAATAAAACATTGTCTGTCAAGATATTATTTACTGTTCTAGCAAATATTGTTGTAGATCTAACACATAACATGATATAACATAATATGAAAAATTAGATTTTAAAAATACTTTGACCATTAGAACGAAATTTTTACACTTTTATGTCGTGAAAATGTTTGACTGAACACAACGTTTATGAATAGATGTAAAGGAATGGAAAGATTATATCACATGTGGGAAAGTAGCTAGGAAGTAAAATCTTAAAATAAGAAATGATGAGCAAAATGGTAATGATGAAAGATAGTAGCAGAAAGAGACAGAAGAGATTCAAGAAGACATGATGAGAAAAAAGAAGCTAATGATATGTAACACTAATTCAAAACAGAGAGAAAACTGACACAAGCATAAACTCATTCTACTTTACTTTGGCAGGAAAGTGGCAAATGAGTCAAATATCTTCATCATTACACCAATCTGCTCTTGTCCACCAACAATATTACCTAATAATGACCGTATCCCACAACCTACAAAATACAAAAACAAAAACTCACCTCATATATACACCAAGATCTCACATTTAAAAACAAAAAAAAAAAACTTAGCTTTTCCAAAATATGTACATGTATAAAGTCACATCCTACTAGTTTTTGTCACTAAAGTAACATAGTGATGGATGCAAATATTTTTACCAAGAAAGTTTATCAAATGAACCCTTTTCCCTAGAGGAAGCAACAATTGGGGGGAATGAAGCCTGGTCCGACAACACTAACACATTATCCATAACCCCTTTTCGTATTATAAAAATCAACTAATCTTTTTTTGAAAAGCATCTTATAGGGATTATGGATCTAGTTGGTGACCTCGAGCCAGACAACATTCCCCTCAACTGAGAGAACTTCCTCCTTAATTATGATCTTGGAGATGGAGAAGAAATTAAGAAAACAATGTGGAAGATTATTGAGAAAGGAGGGATATTGAGAATGAATGAAGGAGTGGGGATAATAAATAAAGGATGGAGAAAGAAAGAGGGTAAGAAAAGGACAAACAAAGTCATAAAAGCAAAGCAACAGACACTATGGGCCTTGACCCTACAATTTGTTCCACAAATATGACCACCTCCCCCCCCCCCCCCCCCAGACAGACATATTATATCAATACCCTCCCTCTCCCCTTGACTTTAACCTAATTATATATGCACAAGTTCATTCAACTTAAAAGCATACACTAAAATCATCAATGAAACAACAATAATATATAATCCCACATGCGAAGTGTAGAAACGAAAGTGTATAAACAGTCTTATCGAGAAATTCAACCAACCTATTACTTTAAATTAAAATAATTCAATGATTTAAGTGTTGAATGTATGAAAGGACGGCAAGTGAATACTATCATATGGATCCTTTCGTACATTGACTATGGTATTAAGATGCATTCACATAAGATCAGAACATGTTCCTCACAAAATTTTGGTACCATACAAAAGAAATTGAGTATTCTAAGTCCGGATTAAACTTTAGATTAATGGGTGGAATAGCTCAATACACTTAATGTCAAATATTAGAACCTTAGCACTTATCAAAGCGTAACACATTGTAAAGTCGACCATAAAACAGTTGAATCACAGTCTATTTTAGCATAATTGAATGTTTCAAGTTAATTATTATGACAACTTGTACCTACCATGTTATTTGACATTATTGGATTAATCTATCTATTTGATAAGCGCTATTGACAACTTGCTTTTTTATAAAGGAGGAAATAATTGTGTTGATTTTGTTACGTACGTCGTAAATTAACTTTTTGTGTGTAATATTGTCAAACAAAAAAAGTAGATAGTGAGGGGATAAAAAATAAAAAGAGAAAGGGAGACAATTATCAACACATGACCTAATATAAGCATCATGTAGGCTTTTCTCAAAATCATACCCAGAAAGTCAGCTAAAAAAAGGGGAAAAGATTAGAGATAATCAAGAAAAAGTAAAATAAAATCTGCACAAAGAATAATGAATCGTCTTATTCCAAAAACGAGGATATAGAAATATCAGGAGAAGAAAAGAATTAATGACAAAAATAATACGTAAACGTATATCACGAGATGTAACATATACTAGTATTTAATAGCATGAATAAGGTAAGTTTGACAGTGAAATAACATAATAATATTTTGAACAAGAAAACTTGACAACCAGTAGCTGGGCCAATTAAAGGATTTTGTATAAGTAAAATAGAAAAAGGAATCTTTTACGTAGTATGACAAATAAACATTTGTGTAGGGTTAAATGTTCTTGTCTATTATACATTATATAAACCGATAATGTAATGGAATTTTGCATTTTAAATTGAATTTAATTTGTTTACTCTTATCCTTACATTATAGAATGTAAGTTGATGGATGCCTTCACCTAGGTAAGATTTTTATCTTGAAAGAGATTAAGTAAAATAAGTTTCAGGTCATTAATTACTCCTATTATTAGCTTGCGTAGCTAAAATCTTCAAGTCCTATTATTAGAAAGGGATTTTTTTCATTATTTATTCTATTTCCTTTGAACCTTGCCAATACAATCCATGGAGTTGATTTCAATTCTTTAAATGTTATTCATGTAGTTTAACTTTGTTATATTATATGGGTAATGCTAAATGATCAGAAAAACTGACCAGAAATTTTATAAAATCTATAATATCTTTTTTATTTTAAAATAAATTGATCTTTTTTTCATTTTTTAATTAAAAGGTATAAAAGCTAAAATGGTAAAAATATTCAAAAAGATAAAATAACATAGGTAAAATACTCATATTCTTTAAATATAACCAATTTCAGTATTTATGAGCAATTATGAATTGATAATTAAAGTTTTATTTATAGTGATAAAATGTATAGGGTGTTATAATTAAGAGAAAACAAAAAACAATAAATGTGGTGACATGAAAAAAGGGACCCTCGTTCAGTGTGTAACTTCATTTTCTAAGCTTGCGGAGGACACAGATAGGACAGACTTGGTCAGCCTCAGTTTTGTGAAAAGACACTATTACCCTTCTTTATTCTTTCATAACTAGGGTTAACTTCCTCATAAAACAACCCAATTAATCTCGAAAAAAACTTACTCGCACCCTTTACTTGTATTTTCAATAAATATATGATATGTGCAAGTATATAAATATTTTTCCCACCTAACTATGACCAATTGATTGACATATATGTATATTTGGTTAGATATAAACAGCATGCACATAAATCTTTACCATGTATTTTTACTAGTAAATTTTATACGCCTTCTCTCTAATTAGGTCCATTTGTTCAGAAAAAACATATCTAAGCGTGGATTTAATTTGTAAACAAACATAAATAAATTACTAAACTCAATATAGATTATAGATTAATGATGATGATTGAGCCGTTGGAATAGTGTTAATCTATTCATTTTATAGTGGGACATATGTAAGTTTTTCCAAGAGTCAACTTGAAAAGTTAAAAGGGGGCAAAATCAATCAACTTTTAAGAAAAAAATAGTGCAATATCTAGTGGTAGCCTTTTCCATGTTTCTGATTTTAAACTGTTTCTGCTCCGTAGCTTAATTAAATTACTAAATTTTCTTTCTTTTGTTTGCATGAAATAAAGGAGACTTTTGTTGTTCTAAAGCTTTCACAACGCAGAAATTAATCCCTTTGGCTTATTATTGACAAACAACCTTTTGTGCTTTTTCTTCTCTATTTAATTATCAATTTTTCATTGGTAGTTCAACAAAATTGCCAGCTTTCATTAATTTTTCTCCCTACTTACAAGGTAATGTTAATGTGGTCCATTTTCCCTCTTTTGCAATCGATTTCGCTATTGTCTCCTTCTGTATATACATGATTGTGTCTAAGGTCATATCAAGCTCAAGGAACTACATATTACTCCATCCGTTTCACAAAGAATAACCTCCTTTCCTTTTTAGTCAGTTTAAAAAAGAATGACCTCTTTCCTTTTTTGGTAACATTTTACTTTTTGCTTTCCACGTAGCATGTTTAAGACCACAAGATTAAGGGCAATTTTGTACATTTGACATAACTTTAATTTAGGACCACAAGATTCAAAAGTCTTCTTTATTTACTTAAACTCCGTGTCAAGTCAAACTAGGTCATTTTTTATGAAACGAAAGGAGTATTAATTAGCTACAATATGTAGCGCCGTGGCTAAGAACATTATTATTTTTACACAATTTGGAAAAAGTTCCAAATAATATAGTAACAAAATTGATTATTACTCATTTTACATTCTAGAAAAATATTACTACAAACTAATGCTATCTGAAAGTAGAAAATTTTCTGAAAATGAAAAGATGTGTTTGACATTAAGAGAAAATTATAAACTATTATCCCGTCGTACATGAGACTTGACTTGATACTGAAAAATTTTCAAAGAGGCTGAAGAACTGATCAAAGATAAGAGGGTCGACAATTTTTATTTTTATTTTTAAAAAGTAGGGTTTGTCCCTAGTAAAAGAAAAAAAAAACATTAAATTACTTTTTCTCTTTTTCACGGTTTGAATAGAATTTGTGTTTTTTTTTCTTCATTGACTCGAGGTGCAGCACTGATTTTCACTATACCTTGCAGCAATTAATACTTAGCAATTTATTTTAGCAGTATAGTGGTGGGTATATACACTCATTAATTACTTATTGAGCTACTACTACTACATGGAAATCATGAATTGACAATGCTACTTTTTGACTTCATGTCTCCTATATGAGTATTTCATTTCCTTGTTGTGACCCGTATTATACACAAACTCTGCCTTAATTTTTGCATCTTCTTCTATGCAAATTGCATCTACTACATAGCTAGCCACTAGATCTCATGTTTCATACTCTCTCCGTCCGCTTTTAATTGTTATCTTATGCATTTTAGAAGTCAATTTGACTAATTTTCAAAATTAAATTAGTTTATATTAATTCAATATTTTAAACAAATATTTTAGATATTCAAAAACTATACGAAAAATTGCTATTTTTACATATCAATATGATGAAAAAAATACATAATAAAATATTAGTCAAAGTTCTTATAGTTTGACTCTGAAAAAGGAAAACTATGACAATTAAAAGTGAATGGAGAGAATGTGAATGTAACTAACATGACAATTACTTGTTGTGCTTACTAAAAAATGATATAATTTATTAACTGATTAAATTTGAATTTGTACCAAAAAATCTCGATAAAGTGCTTCGGTGACTTTGTACCCAAAGCAAGTCGAAGAAGTTCTATACTTCCTCTGTCTTGCTTCGTTTCCAAGTTGTATTTGATGAGTTAGAAAGTTGTGCTAGTTAAAAACACGAAAATCAACATTTGAGTGCTTTGTTACAATTTACAAATTAAAAAATTGATTAATTTTGGAAGTTTTTAATCATTCAGGGAATAACCTTAGGAAAAAGAGGTGCATGGGAGTAGTTGGGAAAGTAGAGAAAAAGGTGGAGTCCTTTTTGGTGAATGCTTTTTCACTACCCAAGAATTCACATATTATAACAATTAAATTAAATTATTACAAAGTTGGGGGATAGAAAGAGAAAGATAAAAGATTCTTTTGCATTATGTAACAAATGAGAAAAATCTAAGATAAAAAAGTTTTAAGTCCCAACATTATAAAATGTCTTTGATTTGGTAAACACAACTCTACCACGACACATTGATTTGTGTTTTTTCGTCCTTATATTAACAAAAAAATATTATGAATTGATATAAAAAAACAAAAAAAGATTCTAGTAAAAGTTGTAATGAATAAATGTTTATGATTCTTTTCCAAGAAGATACAAGAGTCAATTCCCTCCAACGCTTCAACCAAAAAAGGACCAACAGTGTCAACCTTTCACTTGCATTAGCTTTTGGCTTCACTAGCATTTTCATACTCATACATAACTCTGCAACAAGAGATAACGATATTCCTCCTTGGAAGACAATGACTTAATTAGTTTTATTTTTTGTTTACTCTATATTTAATATAGCTCTTGATGAAATGATATACTAAAAAAGAGTAGATTTCTTACCAAAATACTTATTTGAACTTTTAAAAAGTTTGCTCAAAATTACTATATTTTAAAAACTATTTGGTCAAACTCAAATTGTTTCTTAACGAAAGTACTTTTTTTGAAGAAAAAATAAATCAAAATAAGCTTATTTTAGAAGTATAGCGTATAAGCTATATGTATGTAATATAAATTGACTCAAAATTAAGATAGAAAACGAATTAGAACTTAAGTAGAGTTTATCACCGATTAACTTGATTAATTGATTTTAACTTGCCCATATTTAGCTTGACCTTGTGTTTAAACACATATAATTCCTTTATCACTCTTATACTTAAGATAAGCCTTTGAATGATGATATTCCTATTTAATGAGTCAAGTCATATATACTTGTCTTCTTTTGCATGTTAATTGTGGGCCGAAAGGGGAAATCCAAGTTTGCAACTCCCACCTCCAGAATAATACTTGGTGGGCTTGGCCCAATCTTAATCACTTGGTCTTCGATGTATCATGGAGTATTCAATTTCTAAATATCAAAGTGCCCAAGCAAGTCCCATTATATGAGTCTTTTCTACAATCTAATGTTCAGTATTTTGAGCTAACTTTCTTATAGTAGTTAAAATACTTTTATGTTTGGAAAAAGTACTAGCTAGCTAGCTGCATGTAATTTCTTGTTATATGCCTAAGCTTTGGTAGGTAGACACTCATGTTGGAGCTGCCAAAATTGACCTCAAGACAAGGATTCGATTCCCGTTTAATATGATTTACCTTTGAGGTCGATTTTTAACGAAAAACTACCTCATGAAAGTAACCCAAATATTACTGTCCTGAAAAAAGATATTTAATACCATTTTGTTGATTGTCCTTTATCAAAACATGGAACTAGTCGATCAACTAGCTATACTATATGAAGCTTTTGGAGTAGAAAAGTTAAGCACAAAATAAAGAAAAAACAATAATTTTAAACTTGGAAAAGGTGAGTCTTCATATCCTAAGCCAAGTAAAGGGAACTAGATCATTATTGAATTTAGTCGGACTCCAACGTAGATATCTCGATATTTAAAAAAAAAAAAATCATTATCATCATGTCCGAATCAAAGAGTGGGGAACTATACTAAATAAAAGACATGGGTAGAAAGAGGACAAAATTGCAACATATATATTTGGCAATTACCTCCTCCATAAATCTCTCTAAAATGATGTCAGAATCTTACTGGAATGTTTGTTTATTTCAGCCCTTTCCTCTTATTTATATTATATACTACTATATGTCATTCTCTTATCCGACCACTCCCAATTTGAATCCTAAAATGTGCAAGTGCAATGAATTTGACTAGAAATACATGCATATAAATATCTACATTCTCAAAAACATAGACAATATCCTATATATACATAAAAATAATTTTAATCTTATTCAGCACAAAAGTGTTATTCTAATAAGCCCTTGCCCCTATAATTGCATGTTATTTTTGTTTTTTATTCGATGTTTGATCTGATCCCAAATATGGAGTAAAGTGCTTCCTAACAAAGATAATTCTACTTGCCACAATCCTAGATATAAATTGAGTACATGTCTAAGATATAATATTTGATAAGGAGAAGGCCAATCCAATATGTCATCCAACAAAACGAGTATTTTTGAAAGGAGGACAAATATCACCACAAGATAACAGTGTAAAAAACAACAAAACTCTTTAATTTGAACATCCGTCTCTTCCTCAATTGACAATTGATATTATGTATATATTTTCAAACACAAATGATGATGAGTAGTACTAATAACTAAAAGCAATCCTCAAACCCCACACGAGATTCACACTAGAAAGTCTTATTTTTTTTCCTTTATGAAAAGCTCACTTCACCCAAAGAAAATGGAACATATGAAAAGCAAAGTTGGAATATAATGAATTAAAAACAAATAGATAAGACCACGTAAGTAGGTTTACGTGTTGATACAATTGGAAAGTGGCTTTGCACCATTGGTTATGGGACAGAATATCTTTGCTTATGTCCCACGCAATTATCCATTAGCACTTCCATTTTCCAATCACTTTATACAATATTGTGTCAAATAGGGTCTTCAATTCCCATATTGAAGTAGACTCATCATTTGTAATTCAACCACGAATAAAGTCTTATATTTAAAATATGATATACATTGAACGTTTTTAAAATAATATATTTTTGGAGCTTTTCAAAAATCTGAACAACATAGATAAACGGTATAAGATCTTTTGACGTAAATTGTATGATTTTTGTCCAGAATGAATTGTATTTCGCCATATTAAAAGTATCTTTTTAACTTAGTCGAACAATAAACAAGATGACACATGTCCTATTATCCCAAATACACCAACCAAAAGCAAAAAAGACTTGTATACATACACGAAAAATATGTTTAAAACTAAAAAATCTATGAAAAGATAGAAAAGAGAAATAGTACCTTAAAAAGGTTAAAAGTTACTATTTCTGTTTTAACTCACTATTCAGAGAGTATCCTTATCCATTCTATAAACATGCATACCAAATTTTATATCATCATATAATCATATAACACTCCAAAACTAAACATGTACACCCTGGAGATTCAATTCACCCAATTGAATAGTACTATCAAAGGAACTGATAAATCATTTTGCAAAAGAACAAAAATCCATCTCTTTTTATTTTCAAGTGTCATTATATATGTTAAGAGGATAAAATAAAGAAATTAAAAATAAGTGTACCATATAGCGATAGACACCTAGTCTTTATTTTGTCATTACTAGAAAACATTTAACGGCCCACCAAATGTAGACACTCGTATAGTATATTTTTATTTTATTTAATAAGAGCATATATCGTGCAAGCTAGAAATTAAAAGCACAACTGAAAATGGCTCCAACAAACTCAGACATTTGGGCTCAATCAATTTTGTGCAACGACAACATGAGAAGAAGGTTCAGTGATGAGCAGATTAAGTCATTAGAAAACATGTTTGAGACAGAGTCAAGGCCTGAATTGAGGACAAAACAGCAATTGGCTAAAAGACTTGGCCTGCAGCCAAGACAAGTAGCTATATGGTTTCAGAACAAGAGAGCTAGATCGAAATCGAAGCAACTTGAATTGGAGTATAGAATGCTTCAAATCAGTTATGACAACTTAGGTTCCAAGTATGAATTACTGAAAAAAGAGCATGAATCCCTCCTCATCCAGGTAATTTTATAATCTTTTTTGGGTATGTGTTGTCAATTATTACAATAGCTTGTATATATATTTGTTTCATTTCAACAATCTTCACACACAACAGACTCTAGCATAGTGGCAGAAGGGGTTCAAAAGTTACTTTAGATCTAAAAAATCAACATACTAGTTGAATTTTGTAGTCTTTTATGTTTACAGCTGCAGAGACTTAGAAAGTTAATGGAAAAGGATGAGAATGAGAAAGATGTCATTAAATCAGAAACGGAAGTGAAACAAGATGATTTTGGCTTACCTTTGTGTGAAGACAGCAGGGGAATTGACTACTTGGGACCAGAATCTGATATTTTAGACATGGCACAAATAGCTGATGGCTTATCGGAGATTGAAAATGGATACAACTTCGAGTCGAGAACGTTTCTTCATGATAATACTGCTTGTACATCACCATTGTGGGAATTTTAATTACTTTGCTGTCTGTTACAGAACCTTTTTGTCAGTAGAACCTAAAATGAATGATGAATAATGAGATGTAAACAATCATATATATATGTACTGCCAAAACTCATACTTGCATAGTTGTATGTATGTATCTACTAAATTAAAGATGGTTTAAACAAATTGGTCAAGAAAGCTCTGCAGTACTAAACAGGAAGCTAAGCTCTTAATAAAATCAGTAAAATTCTCCTTATGCCCACCATATCCAACCTCGGAAGATAAGTTCATGATATGTTCTTGTTCATAAGAAGATAGGGTATTACATTCTTCAGACACAGATATTTGATCATCGGATTCAAGATATCATATACTATATGTCATCTTAGATAAGCACCGATACTTATAGAGCTTTTCTTTTTCCGATTTTCCATGATATTGACGAGCTTTTAGGTTGGCAGACTTTACTAAAAGAAGAGGTGTGTCACAGATAGGAAATGGGAAAGATAAGTGATGTCCAATACACTTTATGGCTCAATGAACGGGAAGAGTGGATGTAATTCAGCTCAAACAAAGTGACAGGAGTATCAATTATATTACTTTTCAGTTCATATGAGAGTCGAACACCAAAACAAAATCATGTATAATGTAGTTGAACTGTAACAACAAAACGCCCTTTGGTGACAAGTAACATTAGGTGAACTTGAAAGTAAACACCACATGCATATTAGTGTGTTTTAATACATTTGTGACACCCACATTAAGTTGCAACTCTTTTTATTTCACGACTGCTAACTCTGTACAAAATCTGCTAATAAGAGAACCAAGCAGTTAGCAAAGCTTCTCAAATTAAGTTGTTATATTTGGTCACTATATTACTTGAGATGCAATTAGCATTTCTAATTTTGTTTGAAATTACGATTAGGATGTCAACGATAGATCTATTGTGTAACCATAGTTGATGTTCTTGGCTCACTTGGGAAAATATAACAGAGAAAGATACTAAACAAAATAGCTCAAAATCTTTGATATAGATAAAACACAAATTCATCAATGTTTTTAGGATAAAATTGAACAAGCAACCCAACAATACGTTTCTCAACATCAGCAACTACATGTTGACAGAAATTCAAAATCACCATCTACTTGATCTTCTTCTTAGGCCTCAACTGCAATACCAAATAAATGGTAAAAGTTAAGTGAGAAATCAACATATAAGAGTTTCATAATGTGTCTTGAAGAGTCTAATGAAATGAACCTGGTTGCTGTGCCCACACTTCTTCTTGCGGCAGTTGACAGCACGGGGATGTAGGCGAGCATAGCACCTTTAGAAATAAAGAAATAATTAGAAACAAAAATGCATTGACCATACAAAAACTCAGTTTTGACACAGCTAAAACTTTTTCCCACTTCCAGCTATTAAAACATCTACTACAACTACATCAATTTTGATAGTCAAACTTTGACCATTGACTGTTTGAAATAACAATATAAAATGGTGACATATTTCATGGTTATAATTAAATAAATGAGACATGGATACAGTTGTAGAAAACACTTCAATGTTTTCTCATAGTTGACAAGGAGTTAAATTACCAAAACTTAGTACCAAACCAAAACCTTAAGAGCACATACAAATATACAGTAATCTAGAAAAGTCTCAAGTGGTGCTGTTAATTGCTATGATTTGTTATTGAAAAAACATATAGTCAATGATTTTTAAGGCAGAGAGGACCATCGATGCCCTCAAAATAAGAAGTAACTGAAATGAAAATATAAGTTGGCAGTAGAGACCACATAAACTTTCTAGTTACAAGGTCATCATGTCTAGCAATTAAAACCAAGTCAATTATCCTGTTAAATATAATAAAGACAAGTTGCTCAACAATGACCAGAGCGCTCATCAACATAAAGTGACCTGCAGACCTAGGATTTGTCATCTTGATTGGTAGAAACACTAAATGATTTAAGGTGAGAAAAGTAGCAGAATTCAACATGTGAGGTTGAGCCCAGTGCTCGATGCAGTAGTGACCTCTAGCAAATGATGAACTAGTCACTACCCCAAGGCATTCATGAGTAAGAAAAAACAAAAGTTCTTCAAGGGACATGATCGACCATATAATGGAGGCACAATTTATTGTAAATCATGGGGAGAGAAGCATAGAAATGTACAACCACTAGTGAGACCACATTAATTTTCGCGTACGCAACTAACCTAAAGCACATGCAGAAGCAGGAGGGGGTACCACTTGAAATCATGCCAGGTATTTGTTCAGATATATCTTCCTCTATGATGAATAATATATCAAACTGACACTCCAATTCACATTCCCTCATGTTGGATCATTATTTCATTATGAAAAAGAGGAAACATTTTAGAAAAATCAACTTAAGATTCCACGAATGAAATGTTACACTTTGATTAAACATCTTAAAAGGTCTAAAATACTTCCCATTATGAGACATAAGAAGAAAGACGGTAAATACGCAATGTATATTTAAGAAATGAATGTATAGACTCTCTACAGAACTTAAAATACTCCCCCATTATGAGACATCAGAAGAAAGCCAGTAAAGTTTACATGGTGTTTCCATCACATTGAAAATATAAGCAAGTCTACTCTGATAATGTACAAATTCAGAAACAAATAATTTTCTAATACATGTCCATATGAGCTTAATAAATTTGGGTACTAGTAGTATTAGGAAAAAACGCAGTAAAACACACACATATCAGAAGGACTAACACAAATATGATCAGAACAATAAAACTACATATGAGGAGCAACATAAGTTCAATGAAAGACTTACTTGCGGCAAATCATCTTCTCCTGATTGTACTTCCTAGCCAAAGCCATCAAAGAAGGCTCAATAATTCCTCCACGAAGCCTCAGCACCAAATGCAAAGTCGACTCTGCAATTGTTCACATCCCGTAAAAAGGTATCAACTTTTAGCTAAATTATCAATAACCCATAAAAAAAGTATCAACTTCTAGCTAGATTAACAATAACCCACAAAAAAGCGTCAACTTTTAGCTAAATTAGCAATCAATATATCAACCAGGAGGAAGACTGAATCACTTAACAGTGGCACTTTCAAATACATATAGACCAATAAATTGAATTTATACCTTTCTGGATGTTATAGTCAGCAAGAGTGCGGCCATCTTCTAGCTGCTTACCAGCAAAAATCAGCCTTTGCTGGTCTGGAGGAATTCCTACAGCACCAAAAAACACATACACAAAATCATTATACTCAATGATAGAAAAAAAGAGTGTGTTACAAATTTAGCGAGAGTACAAAACAAACAAACCTTCCTTGTCTTGAATCTTGGCCTTGACATTGTCAATAGTGTCACTGGATTCAACCTCTAGGGTTATGGTTTTACCCGTCAAAGTTTTCACGAAGATCTGCATTTTCTCCGCCTCTCACCACCAATATTCACTCTTCTTCTCTGCTCTGCTGTTTCTTCATCTCTTAATCCTTTTATATCTAGGGTTTATAGTCAAGTGATGGAAGCCCATTGGGCTTCGATAGGTTCTCCCCAGGAACTGGGCTTGGGACAATGTAATTGGAATCCAAAAGGAGGACTTTTATCGATAAATTAGTCTCTTTTTCTTTTTAAGAACTAAGACATAAGAGATCTATCAAATTTTGATTTTATGCAATAATAGTTCTCATTTTTTTTAATTTTAAAGAATAAGGATTTCATAAAGGAATAACTAAGCTACAGTTTAACCTTCAAAAATGTAAGTTAGTCATTTATTTGTATCATGTACAAAAATAATAACAAATGATGCTTTAGCGATTTAAAATTTATCAACTTAGACTTTTGTTTCATTACATAATCCACGAGAAAAATTGGTTGTGTGCTAACCAATATTTTTATTTGAATGACTATTCGGTTTATTGACGAATTCATTTTAGGGATTATGATATGAAGAATTATTTGATGTGAATTGTTGTAACATGCTTGTTTGGTATATAATAATGATAATGACATGTCTAGTGTAATATCACAATTGGGGTTGGGAGGTGCAATGCATCCACATTTTATCCTTATTTTGAGTGAGGTAAAAATGTTGTTACCGATTTATTAGTATACTCAATTTTATTAACCATGATGAGGTAAAAAAATTGTTTCTGATCTACTAGTATACTCAATTTTATTAACCATATTGAAGATCCAAGGTACATAGAATAGTAAATAAAATTTTCTTCAAACATGTTGTTCTTTAATTTTCGCCTTTAATAATTCAACCTATGTCTAGTCGGACAGAAGTTCTTTGAACCTGAAGTCATGTCAAGCATAACTTGTGAGATAGTATGATATGAAAATATAAACTTTTGCACAACTCAAATTTATTTAATACTAGGGACATAAAATGAGGAAAAATTGCAAATGACACCTCAAGGTAACATATAGGTACGTTTTTTACTGCAGGCACCATACTTGAAACACAAACATGGGCCGAAGGTACATAGTTAGATAATGCTACAAAAAAAGTAGGATCCATCCCTTCACAAAGCAAAACAAAGCACCATAGCAACTTAACAAAGTTCAATCATTATTTATTTTTAGAAAGGTAACATAACAATTAACAAAGTTCAAATTTTGAGCTTCTAAAAGGGCATTTTCTCTTGCATTTTGGATAATGCCTTGTCAAGCTGGCTCCATTTTTGTTCCAAGGATCCATTATACCCGATTGACATCCGCACCAATCCAGGTGAAATCCCAGCCAACTCCTTCTCTTCATTGTTCAACTCGCTGCTCGTGCTAGAGCCAGAGCACGACATGAGAGTCTCGTAATATCCCAAACTCACAGCCATGAACCCAAATTGGGTAAAGTTTTGCAAGACATTCATCAAACGATTAGCACGTTCCTCAGTTTCCATGTCCACGCAAAGAATCCCCCCATAACCATAGTCTTTATTAGCCATGGACTTGATAAGTGCATGATCTGGATGGTCTTCTAGGCCTGGATAGATCACTTTCAGCCCAAGTTTGGTCATCCTAGAAGCATATTCC